ACAAGCTCAGAACATCTGTGTTTTGCGAATATGATTCGGTACTGCATAGGTTTCTGTGAATTGAAATTTCTAGTAATGTAGAGTTGGTCACGTTATTGCTAGTTGCAAATCTCTCCCAAGCTCTTCATGAAGGTGATTGTGTGGGAACTCTGCGTCTTCTAAAGTTGCATAGCATTTCACACACCCACACCTGAGACTCAATGCCTTCCACGGTGTGACTGTAGCATTCGTAGAACACCGGGGTTATAAACCGAACCGCAAATAATTCCTTTGAAGTAGGAGTTTGGGAGCAGCTTCTTTAATTAGGATATAAGAATTATTCTGCATCATTAAACAATTTGTTATTTTTGATGTTGTTCTAGATACTGATGAATGTAGCAGCACTCCCTGTCAGAATGGTGCGGAGTGTGTAGATGGTGTCAATATGTTTACATGCAACTGTACTCCAGGATTCAACGGATCACTCTGTCAAACAGGTTGTTAAACCCTTCTGTGATACCCTTTGCGCTCATACGAGTCTGAAATAAGTATCAAGTACACCTGAGCCCTTGTTGGTTACCAGCTTAATTTGAAGCCTAATAACTACTTTTGATTACTCTACAAATTGCACAGAATCAGAGATTGAACGTTTTTTATTGAAAGGACAATTCTGTAAATTTGTAAAATATTTGCGTTCTGATATTTGAAACTTTAAAAATGTTTTCTCGTAACTCCCTATATTTAATTGGTAACCAAGCATTGAATGGTGAAGAGTTGTGTTTAATGTTACTCAGACATCCATGAGTGTAGCAGCAATCCTTGCCTGAACGGTGTCTGTCATGATGAAGTGAATGGTTTCAGCTGTGAATGCTCTTCAGGCTATGAGGGGGACTTATGTCAGACAGGTAAGTCTACACCAAGAATTAAAACTTGTCGGATAGCAGACGTCTTCTTTCTAGTTTTCTGCTTCATTAAATACCATTTTAGATTTAAAATTCGTCTGAAAAAATATATACCACTGAATAGAGAGACATCATGAATGCTACCTTCTTTCTTATCAACATGATCGAAATAATCATTTGCTTTGCGGATGTTGTTCCAGATACTGATGAATGTAGCAGCACTCCATGTCAGAATGGTGCCGAGTGTGTAGATGGTGTCAATATGTTTACATGCAACTGTGCTCCAGGATTCAACGGATCACTCTGTCAAACAAGTAAGTTGGAAACCTGTTGTGATCAAATAGCACGCATTACTGGTACAAGTCGGGAAAAAGCATACCCTCCGATCATTTGTCACCTCTAATTGAATGGTTCCAGTTGTGAGTGCGTTCTAGGATGTGAGGATACTCACCGTAGAGCAGTAGGCTTAAGAGTTTATAGGCTTCAGTTGCACATCAAGCAAATGGAAGTAGAGATGGGGACAAGTCTGTCCCGTGGGAGTGGTTTGGCAGTTTCTGGGAATTTAGATCGCCGGGGATTCGCAAAGTTTACCATAACTTTTGGGAAGGCGTTATTGACAATAATTTCTTCTTAAAAAAAAAGACAAAGAATTTTGCTTTCATGAAAACATGCCAAATGTCATCTTTAAAACTCTTAATTAAGCGTACGTTTCGAGGTAGTAAAGTTTCAGTGTCCTTTGAGTTTATTGTTCATCCGTAAAGTTTTTACTTACATTAACAAATACAAAACATATATTGGACAGTTTGGAAGATTCAAATGGTATTACAGTTATCCTTGGGCCTTGGGCCAACTACTAAATTTATCTCTGTCTCTGTCCTTTAAGGCTCGTGTCTGGATTTTAAGCGATATTCTACAATCAGAGATTTAAAAGGCTTAACCGCTTGAAGATTTCTGATAGTAAGGATAAAAATGCATAGATCCCATAAGCCCCGCCCATTGTTCACGTAGGCACATAACACGTGTTCTTCTAGTACAGTATGTCACACGATTTGTTCCAGGCGTATCCTTCATACGCGCCTACATGTCAGACACAGATCGCAGTTGCAGTTGGCCAGAAAGCAATGGGATGGAGTTTTATGGTTCATTTATGGTTAATGATTCATGCAGTTTTTGTGCCTGATATATTCTCTTTTTTCCGTTTTACGTATAAGCCTTTTGTTTTCCGCCGAAATCGAGCTATTCACGGAAGACGTTTTTGTTTTCTAAAATCTCATTTAGACATTGATGAGTGCGGTAGCAATCCTTGCCTGAATGGTGTCTGTCAGGATGAAGTGAATGGTTTCAGCTGTGAATGTTTTCCGGGCTATGAGGGGGACTTATGTCAGACAGGTAAGTTCACACAAACAATTCAATATATGCCAGCTACCTGACCACTCCTTTCTAGTTCTCTGAATTGTTCATACCATACAAATTCCGTTGATCAGCCATCACAAGCTCAGAACATCAGTGTTTTGCGAATATGATTCGGGACTTCATAGGTTTCTGTGAATTGAAATTTCTAGTAATGTAGAGTTGGTCACGTTATTGCTAGTTGCAAATCTCTCCCAAGCTCTTCATGAAGGTGATTGTGTGGAACCTCTGCGTCTTCAAAGTTACATAGCATATTTTTATTTTCACAAACCCACATCTGAGACTCAATGCCTTCCACGGTGTGACTGTAGCATTCGTAAAACACCGGGATTGTAAACCGAACCGCAAACAATTCCTTTGATGTAGGACTTTTGGAGCAGCTTCTGTAATAAGCATTTAAGACTTATTCTGCATCTTAAACAATTTGTAAGTTTAGATGTTGTTCTAGATACTGATGAATTAGTATTTAAGAATTATTCTGCATCATTAAACAATTTGTGATTTTTGATGTTCTTCTAGATACTGATGAATGTAGCAGCACTCCGTGTCAGAATGGTGCGGAGTGTGCAGATGGTGTCAACATGTTTACATGCAACTGTGCTACAGGATTCAACGGATCACTCTGTCAAACAGGTTGGTTGAAGTCTTTTTATGATAATATTTGTTTACACATATCAGGTACAATGATCCGCTATAGTAATGAAGTATTTAGAGGGAGGTGTAGGGCGGGGGCAATTTTTTTTCCTTGAGACAAGTTCACTTTTTTCAAGGATGGACAATGGTTTACAGTGACAGCGTTGCGGGTACACCAAGTGGAGTTGATCTCTTTTAGAAGGGTGGTTGTAAGAAGAACCGATGAGTGTCAACTCGACGTTTCAACCACGATGATGTGGTCGTCCTCGTGAGCTTCCTGGTCATAACTTTGAATTTCCAAGCACGGTTCTTCTCATAACCACTGAATCCCTAGAAATATCATTTTTTTTTTCACAAATGGTATAAAAGCAAAACTTATGGTACAAATGGTATTAAAGCAAAAAGCCTAGTCTCCACACTGAAAAGTTTCAAATCTTGATAGCATTTTAGAAACAGTGTTATACACTTTTATATGTTTCTTTTATGTAGAAACCATTTTGGTGGTAATTTGTAGACATACCACAGAAATGCAGTTACTAGATGTTGGCTAAGACTGGTTCTATTTGCACCTTTCCTCCATTCTTCGTTATCTTGATGACATTGTCTTCAAGATGTGGATGAATGTAATAGCGATCCTTGCATGAACGGTGCTACGTGCGTTGATGGTGTCAACGAGGTTTTGTGTTCCTGTGCTGCGGGATTTACAGGAGTGGTCTGCGAGATTGGTAATTACTTAAACTGGACGTATACACAAGACTGGGCTCGTTTCATCAGTTTTTCGTTGTAAATAAACCGCTTAGCTTAGTTCCTGTAAGTTCTAATTAAACTTGATGAAAGGTCGTTAATTAAGGTAGAGAGTTTGCGGATACACCAATTGGAAAATATCTCTTTTGATTGTGTGTGGTTCTGAAAGGAACCGGTTACTCGACGTTTCGGACAGTGAGTGTTCTGTCCGTCTTAAGGACTGATGCGATCCAACTGTGCTCCTGTTCATATGCTGTGGGTAATCACTGACGTGTGGGAATTGGGATCCTAGCTATCTGGGTACTGGGGCGTGCCCATTAGCTTGATCATTTCTTATTGTGGAAATTTACATTCTAACTGGACTTGTGATCCAAAATTGTTCCTGTGTGTGAATCCTGGGATAACTTATAACTTTACCTTTTACTTTAGCGGTTGGTTTTCCTGATATTTTTCAGCCATTGATGAATGCAGCAGCAATCCTTGCCTGAACGGTGTCTGTCATGATGAAGTGAATGGTTTCAGCTGTGAATGCTCTCCAGGCTATGAGGGGGACTTATGTCAGACCAGTAAGTGTAAGAGGGTTTAGATGCGCTTTTTCTGATCCAACATTTTACTTCTACCTAAGATTTGTAACATTTATAATGTCTTTTGGTCTACTTGTATTAACCCTAACACTCCTCAGTCCTCCAACAGGTGAAGGATTGAGGAGGGTTAGGGTTAATCATCGTCTCTGAACTGCCCTGAATTAACTTTTCTATATTTTTGTTTCCACTGCAGACAGCGATGAATGCCGCAGTACTCCTTGTCAGAATAAAGGTGTCTGCATTGACAAAGTAGACGCATTTAGCTGTGAATGTTCGCCAGGCTTCAATGGTACCCTGTGCGAAACAAGTAAGTGTTCAAACATCATTTAATGCTGTTTCTCTTGTATACTGAAGTGCGATATAGCGTTTTCGGAATTGTGAAGTAACTACATTCGGCAATGGCATGTTGGAGTCAACTACTTCCACCAGGCCTCCCAATGACATTCAAAATCTTTAAATTAACTAGCTTAAAATTCCAAAGCTGGAGGTTTATTTATTTTTCTGCGTGGGATCAGACCCCTATAATAAATTATCAAAATTATGATTCGTGCCGGTCATGTTACTTTCTGTACGTGACAATTATACATACTTGGCTGTGCAGCTGAAAATTACGGCAATACACAATCTGAAATTTGTCATTCAAGTGTATGCTTTACTCTGGTACTGAGGTTTCCTTTTTACACTTCAACTGTCAGTCAATAATTACAATGTATAAACCTACAGTACTTATTTATTCTATTTATTATCTATTTATGTTGCCCAACAAGACCATAATTTGCTGACTAGACTGTTTCTTTTTCAGCAACTGATAGGCTGTTCGTAAATTTTCCTACAATTCTTTTTGCATCGTTCTCTTCATTCTGTTTGATTCGAACTCGATACTGCTGACGCTGTTGTTTACGCCAAGATATCGATGAGTGCAACAGCAATCCTTGCATGAACGGTGCTACGTGCGTTGATGGTGTCGATGAGGTCTTGTGTTCTTGTGCTGCAGGATTTACCGGCGCTGTCTGCGAGACAGGTAATTACTTAAATTTAAACTGATTAAAACAATGCATATTATTTTTATCACCGTTTAAAATTAGGACTTGGAAATTGGAAAACAGTATTTGAAGTAAGGATGTGGAAAGTGTAAAATATTTTCACGAAACCGTTTTCATAGTTGGGATAATCTTGTCCAGGATGTTAACATTGCAAGAGTTTCTTTGTTGATATTGCCTTCCTTTTAATGTTGTCTTTTAAAATCCCCAGTAAACTGAAATAATTAGTGACAAAGTTCCTTCAATAAAATTTGGATCTATACAAAAAGATGGGGTCTGAATATAGAAAGTACATACATGTTTACAATTTCTCATTTTCCCGGCAGATATCAATGAGTGCGACAGCAGTCCCTGTCAGAATGGTGTCTGTATTGAGGGTGTCGACAGTTTCACTTGTGAATGCTCTCCAGGTTACGAGGGTGCCAACTGCGAAAAAAGTAAAGTTCTCTAACATTTTAGCGCCATTATAGCCGCATTTTTTATCGCGATAAGATTAAGATTGTCCATGTGACCTAAACTGCCGTACTAAAAATATTATACGCATCACGATCGATGAAAGAACGTATATGTATAAATCTGTCCCTTTAGATATTGACGAGTGTGTCAGTAATCCATGTCAGAATGGTGCTACGTGCGTTGATGGCATCAGCGAGGTTTCTTGTACGTGTGCTCCATACTTTACTGGATCTGTCTGCGAGACTGGTATGAATTGTGAAATAAAAATTGGGATTAAAATGTCTATCTTCAATATTTTTTTCAAATGTTTTGGGGAATAAATGAGTGACCACCTGTCAGTGAATTTTCTGGGTTTCTCATCAAATATCAAATATTAACTTTGCGGTAGGACTGTTCAACATAGTTTTGAACAGACATTACCAGAGTCATCAGCACTTTTTCTGTGAAGCCTGTGCCAATGTTTACCTTTTTGTACGACATATAATAGGTTTGCGGTAGTACAATGCAAACAATAACTCTTTTGTGAGTATTTCGGTCGCTTAAGAGCCATCGGGAATAGATTCTGTTTCAGAACCACACGTTCTCAAAGAAGAGGTATTTTTGTATGATACTACCGTAAAACCTATTAGTTTAAATTGCTGTCCTCCCATGAAAAGCTCGAATCAAATATTTTGATGGACATGAGTAGTGAATAACATTGTGAACTGGAGTCCCTTTTTTTACAGCGACAAATCAGCCTCAACCTGCGACTACAGTCGATGCGTGTAACAGCAATCCTTGTCAGAATGGCGTCTGTCGAAGCGAAGTAGGTAGTTTCAGCTGTGAGTGCTCGGAAGGCTTTGAAGGTGACCTTTGCGACACTGGTGAGTGTGATTCCAAGACATTTCATCACGTCAGCATTCTCATGACAATGCGTTGGCACTCTGCTAGGAAAGAGAAACACAGAACGCATTTCTGAGAAGGCACGGTAATGATTGATCCATGATATTTAAATTGTATTCTGCAATACTGATACTAGAGTATCCAAGGATCGATACTGTGGTATAGACCCATCACCGGTGCGAATAGATTCATGTGTACTTTGCCAAACATGTTTACAGTGTGTGAGAGCCATCAACAGTTCATCTGGCGTGACTTTGTCACCTTCTTTTAAGAAATTGTGGTTTCCATGACATTTGAGCGTAATGTCAACAGGATTCTCTCGATATATTTTTTTTCAGCAACAAATCAACCTCAACCTACAATTGCAATCAATGCATGTGACAGCAATCCTTGTCAGAATGGCGTCTGTCGAAGCGAAGGGGGTAGTTTTAGCTGTGAGTGCTCGGAAGGCTTTGAAGGTGACCTTTGCAACACTGGTGAGTGTGATTCCAAGACACGTCTTAGCTGGATAGTACTCTGAATAATAATGCGATGGCAGAAATGCCTAGGAGGGATCCTCGTCACTTGAGTACATAAATACATATTAATCAAATCAGAGAAACATAAATTCTCACCCTCAATAAATGTGTGCTATTTTCTGTCTGTCCCTGTTCTGTAGCTGTTACAAGGATCGATGGATGCACCACTAATCCGTGCAAGAATGGCATCTGCATTAGCCAAAGTTCCGATGAGTTCAAATGCATTTGTTCCAAAGGCTTCGAAGGCAGTTTATGTGAAATCAGTAAGTTATCAAGTCTTTTCTCTTTAAATAAATGGCACTTTGCACCTGCTATTTCTTTAGAGACAGGTCACCAAAAATTGCCAGTTTGTCTGTGGATACTGGAAAGTATGAACTGTAATTGACTATACAAATGAATTGAATCTAAACTTCACAGATGGATTTATAAAATACGCCTTTCCTATATGCGTGCCAAGGTAAACACTATTTGGCCTGATGACACGGCCGATATCGGGGGCCAGCCTTGAGGTCACCCCAAAAAACCGTCCTCAGGATTAAGATAATGTTTCAAAACTTTGTTTCAAATCGATATTTGTTATAGATATTGATGAGTGTGACAGCTCTCCATGTCAAAATGGTGCTGATTGTGTGGATGGTATCGACAAGGTTTATTGTGTGTGTACGGTGGGCTTCACCGGACACCTGTGTGAAACTAGTGAGTAGATTTTCGCATTGTACCTGAATCTAATCAGAAACCCAATTTTCACTTACACAATTCGAAGAATTCCACTCTCTTATTTTCAACATCTGATTTATTTTCTCAATATTTACGTACTCAAATTTCAATGCTCAGGTAACATTACGTTGACTCTTATCCTATTAGGTGGTTCTATTTAGTGCAATGGTAGACGTGATTATTTTGATTTTGATATTTTTAATTACCACAGAGCAACCCAACGGATTAATATCTCCTGAAGGTGAGGTTTCAAGTAAAAAAGCCAAATACAGAGTAAATCTTATGTAAGAAACCATTCTAGCTGAGGTGGTAGCACGCTACAGTTATACAGGGAGGGGGTGTGTATTTTCCAGGCCTCTGGTCAAGGAGCTTGCAAATGGAAATTCTCAAACCAATTTTTCGTTTGTACATTTTCTAAAATGCTGGTGCTTCCAATTCATACAAAAAGACGACATATCTCCATAAGCAAGAAAGTTTCCCCCTCGAATGTTAAACCACTGCTAATAAGAGGATTTGACTTTGCAATGTGCACATGCGCTTGAGGAACATGCTTGTAAGAGCGATGCCGTCGCGTTAATAGTAACTCTACATTTACTAAACGAAGTTTCATTTGTATTTACAAAATGGGCTTCTGCTTTGCTTGAATGTTTCTTGTATAGTGTGAATATGTAATTAATAATAGAGGATTCTCTGGATTTACTGATTTTTAAGAGAATTAAAGCTCCTCATTCTCCATTCTGTTCTGATGACAGGAAACCTCGAATAGGCTTGAATATCTAGTGTAAGTAACTGATGAAAATGTATGCAGCTCGTAAGCACCTTTAAATCATTTTTTTTCTTCAGGGCCTGAAGTGGACACACAAACAATTTACACGCTAGTGAATCTGGTCAGTGAATACTGCGTCAAGAAAGTCGTCGTTCATAAGCGTGGTGATTGCACCAGTAAGTCGGCCTAATAGTTTTCATGAAGCCGGTACATACTAACCTCCTTCGTGTTCACTTTCGAATTATGTGTGAACATAATGTTTACATTAAGCCCAAGGGTGTCCGACATTAAACATTCTACCGATGGCCAGTAGCTTATACAGGTGGGTGCGTCGCTTCAGGCCACGGACACCGCCTTACTATTCTTGCGTTAATTAAAGTTTTTTCTTCCAACAGGTGAGCATCTGACCGGTGCTGTAGTCCGTGGTGGGACCAGCTCTACCAGTCTAAACAACGGAGTGTGCGGCACTCCCCTGACCGCCCAGCAAGCTGAAGTTCCCAGATCTACCGTAGGCTTCGTCTGTGACCCTCCCATGACGGCCAAGTTTGTCACCGTTGATATCCCACTGTTGAGAGTCAGTCAAAAACCGCCATGTGAAGTGACAATCGAGCAGGCAACGCCTGGACCTTGCTAGAATTTAGTCTGATAAATGTGAACGTTAAAGGACCATTTTGAATGCTTACTAATCTACAACAGAATTTTTTAAGTCGGTTTTGATGTTGTCAGCGAACGTGAGCTACAACAATAAGTGGAATATACACCTGCTTCACCCTTTAAAAAATGGATCCTTGCGCAAAACGGATTTCTCTGATACGTTATTGTTGCCACTTTGTAGTAGACGTTGGGAGGGTTAAAACTCTCAATATAAATGTTTACTACTTTTTCAATACTGTTATGTCATATGGACGTCACTGAAGAAAATCACATATTCAATCATGTATAAAATGCATGTTCATTGTTATAGTGTTAAATCATTGTCCAGGTAGCTGGTGATTACGTGCTATGAGAAGAAAAGTCAAGTTAAATATTTGAACTTCAATCTAGTGGTGTAACTTGTAAAAGAATTTAATTTGCTCAAGAGTCAGGGATTGGGGAAAGAATAAGTTTTGTGTCCATACCATTGTGCCGTGGAGGACACATAATTTACATCGTTGACCTGTCAAATTTGAATTTTGACTTTACGGTATGTTTTTACAATCTATTGATTCCATTAATGTTTTTTCTTACTGGGATGTAGTGGGTAAAATTTTTTTCGTTTGTAGCTACTAGGTTTATAACTCTGATTTCACTTATTAACACAGACGTGAGAGTAATTCATGCAGATTAATTTAACTTGAAGTACAGGAACCAAGAGGGAAGCATCGGTCGGGTTATCCCCGCGCAAACAAAGTGGTGTCACTGGTTAAGGGGGGGGCACAGTGCATGTGCGCCTTCCCACCCCCGGGTGCCCCCACCTCTATTTGAAATCTATCTTGAACGCAGCTTTGGCTTATTTTCCTGTGGTGCTCCCTTGAACAAAATGTGTGCACCCCATAACTGCAGGTGCTTCCAAGAAGTCTACCCCTCGTTACGTCACTTTGTTGACATTCAAAGAAGCTACGTTAAAGTAAACATATTGCAGCCAGTAGGAATGCTCATCATCGGGCCAGTGCTCTCGTTTAAGTGGTATGCAGGTTTTTACTTCTGCTAATCCGGCTTGAGCAAAAGAACCGCCTCATCGGTTGGAAGTCATGTTGGTTTGGAGTGTTCATTTTGTTGGTGGCGGTTCGACAGTAATGCACGCATTTCATAATCGTTCTTGAACCAATGAAGTGCACTTCTTTTGGAAAATAGCTCCCTCTTCCGGTCCCGCTTGTGGTTGATAAAGTCACATTTCATCAATAAGAGCTTCTTTGTACTTTGCAGATGACCTCATCATAACAGTAATCTTCATTGTTTGGAATGATGACTGTTATGTGAACTAGTATTAGCCCACACAAGCGTGGAATGTGACCTTGCATGATGACAGGTGTTGCGCAATCATCAAGTTAGCAGTCGTCGGCCTGTCCTCGGAGCACATGGTACCGTGATTTGTCTGATAAATTTGGTTGAATTAAATTATGTTTGGTTAGTTTAATAGTGGATTTCGTTAGTCAGTCTTCTTTCATTTGTGTAGTCCTTAGGTTCCCGGTTTAAAATGACTCACACACGAATAACAAAATACTGGCTTTCTACAGCAAATCTCTAAATTTATTGCAAATCGATACGTTTCTACAGAGAATATTTAAAATTCCCATAGGTTTGTGCAACGATTAATATTAGATATTTCCAAACACTGTGGCCGTCACATTTTGGTAGTTTTGTCACAACATTCTTTGAATTTCAACGACCTATACGTTAATGTTACGCTACCACACGCATGCCTGGTAGGCATTTATTGCAAATCCAAACGATACCTGAAAGTAAAAATGTGGGCGGTATGGCCATTTTGTTGCGATGAAGGTGCGTCTGAAATATCTTGAAGACATTCCTTGAATTACTATCTCTGGGTAATATTGTTCCAAGTGTCTTGCTCTGTTGCCCTACATTGTGAGAAGTGTATTACCCTGTCTCTTTATTAAGGCTGCCAAAGACAATGCACAAATTCACCGGCAACATGCATCACATCGCATTTATGATGCATCACATCGGAGCAATATGACTGCACAACATTGACGTAGAGTGACTGTATTCTATCAATCCTTAAACTGACAGTAGTATCTTAGTATAAGAAGATCTACGGTGGGATAGTGAACTTTTGCCACCCCACGAATCAGACTGTCATTATCCATTACAAGCCAGCAGGGAGCTACGTGAAACAGAACATGCACCGCTGTTCTTTGGAATGGGAATGTTGTTTCTCATACAAATAATGTGGTGATACTCTGAATTGTTATTATTACACATGCCTCTGTGTGGACGACATTTTACATCCAGACATCTTGTTACAAAAACGACAATTATTTTGGTCGAGTGCTCCTCTAGTTCTCTTAATCACTTCTTACTTAATGATCAACGCATACCAAACATCATGGGTTGGAAGAACAACTTGAACGTAAACACACAAGGCAATACGAGTTACGCTCGGCAAGTACCATGCTTCGCATCTCCACAAATTTATGACATACCCTGGACTCTTATAAAAATGTTAATTTTAGTTAAAATATTACCCTGCAGGGTTTTAAGTGTCAGGCGGTCTATTAAGCAAAATATGAATTCTAATTAATTTCTTTCATCCATTTTCATAAGGTTAGAGTACTGATAGATGACAATAAAAAATTATTGTACCAACATGCTAAAAATGTAAATATTTCAGAGCTCATCTATTATGCTTGGGTATTCAGAACTATGCAGACGGTCAACTTGACAACAGCAATTCATATTAGAGCGTTTGATGTTTTAATCAATTAACGGGAAAATATCATTGGCATCATATTACAAACACAGCCAAAGTTAGGAAATACGGAACACTGGAAGTTAATTTTCCTTCTTTTAAAAATACTTACAATGTATTTGTTATGAGACGGTTTCCTTGTAGTTTCAGAACTCACTGTGCTATTACAATATTAAAATGTAAAACTTATTCTATTGTATCAAAGAAATTATCTCATCTATGATTCAATTTCAGAGGAACCAGAATAGAGGGGTTGTTTGGTCATTGCTTTTTTGAGTCGCTTGCCCTTTAAAGTCTGACCAAAGAAATCATCGGGAAAATTACGCAAGGAATGTGTTTCCAAAGGTTTAACCATTGCTAAATATACATGCCCCGTTCTCTTTCATGTCAAGAGATCAAACAGTGTCAACTCCAAGAATGGTTGATATAAAAATTAGTTGGAAATTTCAAAATTAGTTGGGAAACCGTATACATGTGGTGTTCTCACCTTGCCACTGTAAAATATTAAAATAAAAAAAATAGTTACATGTCTTAATACGCAAATAACATTTCGGAAAGGAAAGTACTGTAGATGTTTCACAAGTTGGTAATTGTGTTTAAATTTTGACTTATGGATTCGTTTGCAGGTATGCAGCTAACTGTCTTTCACTCCATTGTAAGCACAATAAACTACAAGCCATAAGAGCTTACTGGTACATGAACTATATTTTCGTGCAAGAGGTGAGCTACGGGGCATGGGGTGATTTCTTAACAACGTATACACTTCAGATAAAGCGTGGCATATTGTTTTCAGCCAACCAATTCATTTACCACTTCTCTGTGACTGAGCTGGTTTGTTTTGAAATGAACAAAAAAAATAAAAATAAGCGCAGCACCTATCACAATGCCACGCAACACAGCCACAAGGACGCAGCTTGATGTATGCTCGGCAGAACCCTTACATTTCCATACCAGTATATCAAAGTCATGAATATGTGCACTGCCATTAGCTAATAATTGAAATGCAAGATAAAAATATTCGCCATACGGTCCACGACAGTGGACAAAAGTTCCTTTAAACCATGCGTACAGCGTTTAAATCCGTTGGGCTGCATTGCTAGTGCTCTTATAATCGGAGTTGAAGCATTGATAAGGTGGAAGCCTATCCTCAAGTCAGGTTTGTGACTCTGTTTTCCCTTTTTTTTCTTTAGAATTTCTCAATTGATGAAATCCGGAAGCTTCCGATTTCTTGTCTTTGCTTTAATTCTCAATTGGTTTATGACTGAATGGTGGATTTACTGAGAAGGGATGGTGGTTTGGGGTTTTATGTACTGAGCCAACTAACTGAAACTGCACCATCCCTAGACTAAAGCTACCTAATTGTACAATTGTAACACTGTGCAGGTAATGGAAGTATCTCATTCAATGTATTGTACGTCCTTTCATTTTGGTCTAAAAAGGAATCCTCAGATTTGGCATGGTTACCATTAGTTATGGACTGTTATGTAAAGCATAGAGGCACACTGAAATTATACAGGCAAAGGTTTCCAAAACGAACGAGAGTGGGTAGTTTACTCGCACACAACAGCCTAAAGGTGCTATATTTACAATACTGGCCAATATGTTCGAATGCTTTGATACAACTGGCAGACAAAAGATTGGTAATGTGTGTTGGGTGTTATTCTGCTTGACGTGCGTTATTCGATGCCCATATCGTTATATGTTTCACCTTGCAGGTTGAAAGTTTCAGCAGTCCTGCAGTTAAGATGGAAATCGTGAATCCAATGTATTGGAATGCCAGCCTTGTCGCGCAGGTATTGTCTGTCATTGCAGTGGCCTTGAACCTTCTGGTTGTGCTTGTGTTTGCTACCACCAAGCAATTTCGTGTTAAGTATCACGGGTTCGTCTTCAACCTTGTCCTCGCTGACATCGCCGTCTCCGTCACCCTCTTCATCTATATGCGTCCACATCCATTTGATAAAGCAGTGCAAGCCGTGGGAAGGGCTTTCTTCTTAACCGCGCAGCTCAACATCTTAGCCGTAGCCGTAAATCGTCTGCTTGCCTTGTCTCTCATGCCACCCGCCCGCTATGATGCTGTAGTAACACCTGCTCGCATGGTGCTTGCATGTCTATTGATTTGGATCGTATCTGCTGCGTTGTTCGTACCTACAACGTTTCTCCAAGACAAAAAACTGAACTGGTTGATCCAAGCCCTTCTTCCTCTCATCACTCTGGTAATGACTGGTATTTTTTACGTGATGGTTTTCCGTAAGATCGCCCATTACCGGGCGCCACTTGCATACACCCAGGGAATCAGTGACATAGAAGAACAGACCAGTACCCGATTGCGACAAACACGCCACCTGATGGTGACCTTCACCGTCATATTTGTAGCTTCTGCACTCTGTTGGTTGCCATTTTGTGTTGTCTTTATCATGCTCTTTGCCCACGGGGGACCTACCATTTCACTCTCGGTTGCCTTGTGGTGGTCTTTCCCTCCATTAACCATTAACTCTATTCTGAATCCTTTCATCTACTGGTGGCGTTTCAAAGAGGCACGGGACGGATTCTATCAGTTGTTGTTCGGATGTTGCTGCCGAAGGAGGCAAGAAACGGCTGAGGAAACAGAAGGAGATCTGTAACAGAGTAGAAACAGTGCACACACGCAGTCCTAACCGGTCACAAAGAGGGCCTAGATTAACATCATTATCGCTACTTCCCTTAGCTTCATGGACACAATCGGCTCTAATGTAATTACTGGGGAAGGTAAACTAACTTAACTTGTGAAAAGTTAGGCTAGGACTGTTTCAAACAAAGCCATGGCTGCTGACAAGTGGAAGATTTTTTTATACCTTGAGTGTTTTCTTCGGTTGAAGTAATAATCTATGTACAAAGTTAACAGTAATTCCATTCAGTGGATTTCAGCAATCAGCATAGAAATTGAATTCATCTTTATTTTTCTGAATTGACGTCGGGAGACATTTTGGATAATGTCATTATTGTTATGATTTCTGTCGTACTTTTAGTAAAATTTGGGACATAATAATTACTAGTTTTAATTACTTTTCCAAATAAGGTTTTAAGTATAAGAATTACTTTCAGCAGGAGGTCGTGTATTCGAGTCCCACCTGAGTAGCTTTTCAATTGTTTGTATTTTTGAAGTTTTTGCGAGCTTTCGGACAACACAGCACACGGTGTTATGAAGGATATGTTGGTGTACTAAGGGCAAAACCCGTAATTAAAACTATTGTCAGTATTTAGTGAAACCAAAATTTGTGCTAAATCTGTCTTAAACGTTTGTTTATATCAAACCCAGTGCGTTCTTTGTTTTCATCATGCCTTTCTCCTGCTTTCACCGCCACGTCTGCACTATCCCCCCCCCCAACTTTACCACTGAGGACACCCAGCCTTTCAGTCGGAGCAGCATTTTTGCTCTTGAGCCACGTAGGCCGGCAATAAAGTTTGCCCGTGATTCAGCACCCAACGGGAAGATTATGCTGGAATATACCCCGAGTCTTAGGCCTTGTCCAAATCACTTGCCTACGTAGGAACTTACACACGACTATATTGGAAACTGCCCAAGGCCACTGCTTTAGACTCGTGCGTAATTTCTGGCCGTTGCCAAGTAATTCGGACACGGCCTTAGAGTTGAATAAAGTAGCACCCTGCTATTGTGTCCGTCATAATTCCAATAGGCTTATACATGCGCTTCTGAACGACGAAACAAAGACGCAGAATTTTCGAATCAATGCACAGAACGTTTTCAACCTCTTTATGTTTTGGGGACGGCTCGAACGTTTCTTTGTCGCCATCCAATTAATTAACAGACTTATCCAATAAACTTCCTCAAACGTTCCAATATGTATGCACTTATATGCACATGTACAATTAGTCCAGCAAGCATGCACGATCCTGCGTATTTATCGGCGAAATAAATCTTGCTGAGATATATTGGTTGAATCGGTGTTAATCGTGTTACCTTCCTCCCTTTTGCAATACTTTTTCTCAAACTGTGTTTGCCTATGAATCTAAGGTTGAAGAGATACGCCCCTCTGACGACAGCGCTTTATTTCACTTTTGTTTCACTCCTTGACAACGTGTATGCTGTACATGCGTTTTCCTTGTTAGGGTGTCTTTTTGTGACTTTACACTTTACATGATATTTTTTATTTTTTATCATAATCCTAATTTATGCTTTTTGTTAGACGTCTTTAGGCCAAATTAAGTATTATTATTGCAACAACAGCGCCCTCGACTGTCGGGAAAAGCATTGGCAATTTAAATGATTAAAGCGGGCACATCTCACACAAGGACAGTCACTGAGAGGTACGTATAGGGTGAGATGCTCACGTTTAGCCATTCAGTGTATTGATCTGTTTAAGATCAGCACGCTACATGCCAACCAATTCCAGGGTGAAATAAAGAACTCATTTTTCCAGGGTTCATTATGAGCCCATTTATCTATTTTTATATTCTATTTACGTCTTTACGAGTTTGGACATAAAACGCAAACGTCTTTTGTCACAGTTCTACCTTTTACTGGAGTTGTTCATTTGTGGTACTATCTACAGTTGTGGTCAGGTCTCACTATGGCTTTCTTTAGAATTGTGTTGGCGTTCCTGATGTTTGTCTGTGGAGTCCATGCCAACTGGGATGAAAAAAGCGATCCATCTCGCGCTGAAATGGTAAGAATTGACTTTCTGAAGTTAAAAATAGTTGAAATTAAGCTTGATTCATTTCAATTAGAATACAAATCATTTGATTTGTATTCTAATTGAAATAAATTCAACTTGTATAACATCATATAAGAACAAACGTAATTGATCCGCTGTTCTTGAGCAAACTAATGTATTACTACTCCAAAAATGTGATGTGCAAGTCCCGACCGAATGTTGGGCATTCATTAAATAGCGTCAAAGTAAAAGGGGCCTTTGACAGCCTTCTTGCACAAGGAGGAAACTGACTTTCCTGATGTTCAGTGCTCATACGGTACACTGTCTAGCACAGGAGTGCGGGGGACCTTAAACCCATGGGGAATACGGTTTTCTGTAACATTAAATTTTAATCAAAATGCATACTAGTTCTGTGAGAAGCTAACAAATGTACAAGCAGCAACTTTGAAATAATAAGTTAATACGTTAGGTTCTCAAAAATCTATTTCCTGTCAGTTATTCGCCCTCCAATATAAATATTGCATTTAAGGTAAAATTTCTACATTTCTAATCTCACAAAATCGATCTCAGTTCATGTTGATTTCTTCAATCTCATCTGCAATCATCATGCTCCCCAAGTCAGATTTCGTACGCAAAATGATTCAGACATTTCTCAAGTCAATTTCAATCATGTTTAGGCTTATGTTAAATGACACTGGTATTGGGAAGATGTGTCCTCCTTCAATTTTGGCACGACAGAAAACACTGGAAACAGCTGGACCTCAACGCAAACAAGAACGAAACAATGTTTCCACAAAACCCAATAGCCTGGGAAAATACGTTAGTCCTTTGCTATGAAAAAGCACGTCCCTCGATCACCACATTAATGCCTGATCACACTAGAAGAAATTGTTAGTGGCAAAAGTTTAATAGAATTTGATGGCTAACTAAATTGAAACCATTTCTGTTGTCATACAAATAGGGAATAACTGTGCAATAACTTGTGGAACAATAATAGCTGAAACCAGAGTGGCTTAAGAAAGGGGTGAGATACGCGGATGCCTTCTTTGATCTTTGACAGCTGTATGAAGTAGGGATACAATTTGATTTGAATCTCCACATTGCATTCATTGATCAAGAAAAGAAAGCTTTTTAATGGAAGATACTGAAGGACAACAGAGTCAGGGGGCTTCTTCTTGACAATAAGAACAATTTGTATGCTTTACAATGCAGAACACAACGGAAAATATAGCTCGGAGCGATTAGTGGAGTCGTCATTGGCAGGGGGGGTCTCTTCAATGTTGTAGTAACTGTATTTGATAAGATCACGAATTTCATCAGTCTTTTGAAAATGAATGAAGTACCCTTCGTGGACATTTAAGCATGGGCGTAAATCCCGGGGGATGGGGGGTATATCTTTCCACTTTCTGAGGTGAAGGGATGGGCTATTGAATCATCCCCCACTTTTTTACTTTTTGTGGTGAGCAAAAAGTTTAAGCGGATCGTTAAGAATTTATCAGATAACTAAAACGCATTAATGTATCACTCCAAAAAGGGACAGTAATGTTTAAAAGCCGCAAATATGCCATCCTGAATAGATATTGCAGACGTTCACCGATATCATTAACATCTACCTCCATATAGAGTCATATGGTGTCATGCCCCTCCCCCTTTCAAAAGCGAATGTGACTTCAGGCTTAGTCAACATGATGTTGAGAGAGAAAAAATTTTAAAAGCCTTACGGTTCCGACACTCTTATTTTATTTGCTGGTGTTGTTTTATTCGGGTTGTGGTGGTACTGTTTGATAAATAAATATACCGATTACTTTCTTTCCTGCTCACCTATGAAGTTTTTGGCTTAAAATAAATTTTAAAATCCGCCAGGGGGGGCAAGTTGTTCCCCTCCCCCCACCCCGCTGGATACGCCACTCTCCCCCCACCTTTCCCAATCCACACCCCCCCATTTCTGGCTCAGCTTTATTCTACTTCATTTAAATACTTATACAACTCGCTCCAGAAGGTCTGCCAAATCAGATTGATCATCTGGTAAGGAGAAACGAGATAGATTCTTTAATTCCAATGGGTGAGGAAGAAAACATTCGAATCAAGAATCTCCACATTTTGAGTGGTTTCTCCCACTACATGAGACCAAAAGGTATTACAAAAAGTTCGAACCTGCAGACGAATTCGAGCTCCATCTTTGGCTAACTATGTGCATTGTCATAGAATGAGCACAGGGGCAGAGGGAAGATGCTAGAAACTCCACAAAAGTCACTAAACTCGACACTTATCTCGTTACTAAGAAGAAATTCTCTCTTATTTACTCTAGAATTGTGTTCCTAAATTTGAAAGTAGGAATACAATCATTAAGAAATGGAAACGTCACAACTTGCGAGATTAAGTACGCCCTAAAGCTGAAAGTAAGTTATTCAATGAAAAGATAAGGAACAATTGAATAAGAGCAACTAACGCTTAACGACAAATGGATAAAATATCGTTTTGTTCCCGTAAATCTCGCTGGAATTCAAGCGCCCCCTAGTTTTCTTTCTGGTACCTTCCATTCAGAGGGTTTCTTACTTTACCCCAGCTATGCATTATGGAAATATAACAGAGACGCTAATTTTGCACGAAGTTATTCATGCTGTACTCTGGTGTGATCGCGTGTTCGCTTGTAGATTTGCTCTTCAGTTCGTCGGTCAGGTGCTCTGACCAAACCCTTATTACGGGATCAAAACTGTAGCGGTTGGACCCTTTTCGAGAATTTTGCGGTAATTACGAGAACCCATTTGTATGGTGAAACAGTATGAATTCCCAGCTAGCGAGAGCGATGCTAATTAGCTCGGGGTGCTAGTGAGAGTCGTAGCTGCCCGTCACCACCACATCCGAACGGATTTTCGGGCGAGACACCCCCGGGTCCCTCGCCACCCTTGTTCTGCTAACTAGCCCCAGTCCTCCCCGTCTCTAAGCTGAGCCAATAGTGGGTAGTGCGGCGATTCAATCATTGCACCCATCGAATTGCGGTCTAAGCGGCAGTGCGATAGGAACAGCATTGGGGCATGCCCGGGGCAGGCAGCTCCGATGAGTGTAGCCTACAATCCTGGACAAATCTCGTTGGGACATGCCTCCCCCTCGCCCCCTGTCAATGTTGCTTCTCACTGGGTAAGTTGGGCTGAATCTGGGTCCAATAAATAAACGCAACATTGAATGGGGAGAGGGGATCTTTGCAACGCGCTTCCCACAAGGTGTTCCAACTATTTTGTCCAGGATTGTCCGAGTTTCTGGGAGGACAGTGGGTGTCATGAGTGTGGGTTTGTGTTACCTGGAAGGCCGAGGGCTGGGATTTGCCACGTTGCCGTTTCAGGCGCTGCCGTGTGATGCAGTAAGCATTACATGGTTATGGAAAGGAATAAATAATGATTATCAAAGACAAGGTGTGGTAATATGTCCTGTCAGGAACACACACCCCCAGAAAGTATATGGAAATACATCGTTATTTAATATTTAGTGATACAGGAGCTATGGGTTATGATCACCCATCGGTACAGGATTAGTTTCAGTGGAAGGGTCCATAGTCAATTTGCACGAATGGGATTGCTGCTTGCAAGTACGAACAACAAGAGGCAAGTTGGCCGTTGAAAATGGGATGAGGTAGGCGCTTCGAGAACGGTGCACCACAGAATTTCAGCACACATCTCTCTTAGATGAAGTTTTTTATTCGGTCTGAAGGGCTATATGGCTCCATGATGAGTACACAATTCTGTCCGACCTCTTTTCACTTTCTGATTGGGTTTTAGATGAAACATTGCAACGGTGAACCCTGAAAAATTAAATGAAAAAGGATGTGAGTAACCTTTTTAGAGTTGAGGCGGTGTACCGTTGCAGTTGTTATCACGTGTGTGCGTGCAGCCTTTTTAAAGAGCGGGATGTACACGCTCCCTATCCCGTTCGTAAGTGACTTCGTCACAAAGGTGGACGCACCACGACTTGCAGGCTCCCATTGGACGATCGCAGAAGTTGTGCGTTAACTTCGGGTTCAATGGCTCCATACAAATGGCAATCAGTGCATGTAACCCCTTGATCTCCATTATATCCGCTCCGAGCATGAATAAAAGAGGGTGTGTTTTGAAATGAAATCGACAGTCCTTCAGTACTGACTCCCCGCATAGGTTGGCAAGTTTATGCGCGTTGACGCGGAGCACGCTGAGTAAACGCAACAATTTTTAATTATACGTGCACTCCGAACGCGTGTTAACGTTAGGACCCGGTTGGAAAACTTATTGCCACCTGTCTTTCTTTCGCCGATGAGGGTGCACTTCGGCTCAGGGCGGATAACGTGTCAATCAAAGATCGTATAGCGCCGCAAAGCGGCGCCTTCGGTGCTATACGGTATTTGGTTTCAATCACTCAGTATTTACACAGCAACATTCTGTGCAGTAAGTTGAATGACTTTGTTATCTTCTTAATTAATGTGAACAGCAAAAAGCAGTATCTCTGAGATGGCCGAGTGGTTAAGCTCACGGTTATCAGATCGTTAGA